AAATTGGGGGGTCAGACCTCTTAGAATAATGTTATAATCACCGGAAGTAGTGCATCGAATCTGTACACCAAATGACGTGGCATAATCCTGACCGTAGATTAATTATGATTTAATATTAATCGACGGTCAAGATTACGCTAGGTCATTCGGTGCACAGATTCGATGCATTACTCCCAATGTCTCTATTATTTTCCGACCTCTTAAGTCCTAGTCTCCTTAGGCTCTTATAGCCTTAGGGACAGTAATTTTCTTTAATCATTTCCTCGTTCAAAAATATCTTAGACTTTCATGGATAGTTCAATCCTAAATTAATCTTGAAACTTTTAAAAGATTTAGTTTAAATTTTGAATTTATTAATCTTTATCCATCTGTTATTTGTTTAATCATATTTGATAAATTTTTAATGGATTAAGATTAATCAAAATTTAAATTTTAACCTTTCAAAATTAAATCTTTTGATTCAACCCGATCTTTATCTAATCTTATTAGATAACGTTATCCCTTTAAAAAAATTATTATTATTATATTATCACTTATCACTTACAAGATTATAATCTAATTTAAACGTTAAAAGTGAATTTGATAATCTAGAATTTTCAAACTCATCTAATCCCTATTACTTAGGGATTTTATTCTATCATAAAGAATTAACAATAAATAAATAAATACAATCCTGATTTCATGCAAAATCCAATTTTCATAAAATCAATTCTGTTTAATTTTAGCTTTTTAGAATTCAAATCTAAAACAGATTCTGATCCTTGGAAATTACTTTTTTGATCCCTTGTAATTTTTCATAAAGTTTACAATTTAAAATTTCAAGTTATGTAAATAGATGTGGTAAAATTATAAGGCAAAATATGACTAATTAATAGAAGTTTAAAAATTAGTTAACTATCCTGAATAACTTATGTGGTACTTTCATATCCTTTGGGATTTATGCGTGCAGAGTTACCAAACTTTTTTCTTTGTGTACATGCTTTATTGCTAAGCATCCATTCAATTTTCTATTATTGCCTTAATATAATCGGTTGATACGGTCCATGATCGGTAAATCTTAAATGGATAGATTTAAGCAACCAAAAAGTACTAAAATCCAATATACTTTATATAATTTTTGTTCTGTGCGTATAGAATTGTAAATGTACCGAATTATCAATTATTTCTATTGAAAGTACTGAACTTGTACACCATCAAACACTTTAGAGACGGACTTCTAATACCGTTAAAATTAAATGACGTGGATTTTTTTTAATTCTAAAATGTGTATGTGAAAATTTATGAGGGATGATGTGTACATGTAGCACTGACGAGTGATGAGCACTTTTTTAGGGCTGATGTGTATATTTTCATATTTTAAATTCTTCAAATTTACCTATTCCTCTAATTTTAATTCCACAAAAAGCACAAAATCACCCAAAATAACCAAAATCACCCAGAATGAAAATATTAAAATAACAAAATGCACCCAATAATTTCATAAATGCGTCAAAAGAGGACCCCCAACTCTATTAGGCTACGAAAGGTTAAAGTAGTCTTTTCAGTTTTCTATCTAATTTTTTATATTATTTATCTTCTTTTCTTTTTTCTTCCCCTCCCCTCCCTTTCTTTCTTGTCTCTCATTTTCTTCCCCACACTCTACTTCCACACTCATTCCCTTTCTGCAATCCTCTTTTTATTTTCATTTTCTGTAACAGTGAATCTAATCAAAACTCTAACACAAACCAAATCAGAACCTAATCAAATTACAAATCAAACCCTACATCTAACACACAATCACAAATCAAGCAAAAATTAAATTGGGTATCAAAAAATACCCAAAAACAAACTCAAATCTTGAACCATGAAGAAATCCAAATCTTAAACCATGAGTGGTGGAAGAAGAAGAAGTGGTGGAGATGGAAAGAAATAAGGAAAACAAGAACGAAAAAAAAAAAAAAAAAAAAGTGGACGGAAGAAAATGAAGAAGAAGTAGTGGAAGTGGAAAGACATAGAGAAGAAAATAAAGGAAAGCAAAAAAAAAGAAAAAAAAAAAAAAAAAAAAAAGAGCTGAACAGAAGAACAAAAAGAAAAGACAGTGGAAAGAATTAAAGAAAAAAAAAGAGAGATAATGGGTTTTAATTAGGATAAAGTTTTCATTTTGGGTAGGTTTTATTTATTATGGGTGGTTTTTGTGGTTTTTATTTAATTAATAAAAAATAAGGGGTTAATTTGAGATTTTTTAGATTATAAATGTCTAAATCTAACTTTAATTGTCACATCAAAATGTCTAATCAACATACCAAAATTACCATATCATAATTTTTTATGAAAAAAATGCTATGTCATCAATATTTAACACCGTAGGAAAAAATATGAAAGTTTTGTACCTTCGATAGGAAAAACTTAAAGTTTGATATTTTTAACAAAAATAATTAATAATTTGGTACCTTCAACGGAAAAAAAAAAATAGTTTCGTAACTTCAATAGGAAAAAAGTGATACTTCAGTAGTTTGCACAAATATGAATGGAAAAGCTTGTTTGTATTTGTTGGAGTTTAAAAGATTTTAAAGCCTTATAATCATTAAATCATATAAATTGCGTAGGGGTTACAAATTTTAAAATATAAATAAATTTGTGATAAGTTACAAAAAAATAACAATAATTATACGAGTTAGTCAAATTTAAGTTGGACTATTAAATTATAAAAGTAGTTGTTATTAAAATATCTATGGGTGCGTTTAGTTTATTATTTTGGATAGGATTTTGGGAATAATATTGAGTAGTTAGATAGGGGAGTATTACGAGGTAAAATTTAAAAATTTATGAAAAAGCCCCTAAGTTTGCTAATTTAATTAAATACCCTAATATATAAAATAACAAAAACACCCCCACCAGCTGCAGTGCCAGATTCCGACCACCACCACTGGAATCTGACCGGAAAATCGCGTTACGACACAGACCGATTGGATCTGTGTCATAACACGTCCTTATGGCCTTTTCTGGTCAGATCCACCACGGATCTGGCCGAAAAAGGCCAGATCTACTGCATGTTGTGGCCGCGACGGCCATTTCATCGTTTTCGGTCAACGATGGCCAAGATATGGCCGTTGTTGACCTCAACGACGACCATTTCTTTGGCCATCTTTCACATCCAGATCGGTGAACTTCCGGCCATTTCTGGTCGGTAGGTAGGCCGTTGTACAGATTCCGGCTACTACCAACGGTGGTTGCTGGAATCTGGCAAGTATGGGTTGTGGGGGTGTTTTTGATAATTTTTTAACTTCTTTTTCAGGGTTATTTAATGAAATTAATAATCTTATGGGATCTAAAAGTAATTAAAAAAATAGGATAATATTTCTGGAATAATATGCCAAACATTATTTGAATAATAGGATTGAGAATATAGGCAGAAATAATAAGCCAAACATGCCCTATATAAATGGGGTTGGTCTCACTCAAAATACACAATACATGCAAGCTTAAAAAAAAATCTCACAAACTCTCTTAACAATTCTTACAACTTTGACGTTATAAGACTTGGTGGTTATCTTCCGATGCTCGTGCTCATCGAGAAGAGTGGCTAGGAGCTATTTAATTGTATCTGTTAGGGTTAGGAATACTTAGTGGAAGCATCCGGTTGCTCGGATTTTAAAAATTTCCTCCCCTTAATGCCATTATGATCATGATAGTAACGTTTTAATGCAAATAATGCATGCATGTATATATCTATTAACAATAAATCCACATATACATATGAATATAAAGAACCTGAATAATACGGAATGAGTAAGTAATTAAAATGTTATAGTTTCTTTGTTATATCTTTCTCCTCATTGAATCCTCTCCAAGTACTCTAAGTGTGGTACTATTAGATCGATACACACAAGATCTCACACTGATGGAAATTATCCCATTACAATGGAATCAAGAACAACTTCTTTCTTGGGATGGAAGACAATATTGGAGGTTAGCGTTTTTCTTATATTTTTGTAATTTGTATATTGTGAAATTTAAAAAAAAAAATAATGAACCCTAAACCTCCTTTAAGTAGCCACTCAATATTGAATTAGTAGATCATCCTTAGAATATCTTATTCCAGTTTAAATTATTCTCAATTGAATTAACTAATAACTAAACTTAGGCTCATTTGGGTGCTACCCAATTTGGGTCTAAGTTTAATTGTTAAACCCCCTTATAAAGTTTCCTTATTTGGACTTAATTTTTTAATCAATTAATTAAATTAACTAACAATAATTAATTTATCCAATTACAAAAATACCATTTTAACCAATTATACTAATTAGCCAATTAGAACTTTTGGAAACTTTAATATCCTCATTAACTCTTTAATAAGAAAATCCCTGATTCCCATCATGTTTAGAAATCCATAATTTGTGTGACATTTCTAGGTTTATTTATCAATTTGCAGTAAGATAAATATCAACTCTTGATATCCAACGTCCTTACACTGAACCGTATATCATGGTCCCAATCAGTGAGTGAAGTGGAATCATATGAACTTGTAAAATTGAGCAATTCAATCACGTCACTTCATTCCCTTCGATGTCATGTTTCGATCAAATGCAGACCATCGTATAGTCAAATCTCTAACTTAATCACATAATTTAGATCTTCTTGAACGTGCACTACAAGGAAAAAGACCTTTCTTGACAAAAAATTTGATAGAATTTCTTGACTGTTTTTAAAAACAATCAAGCAATCTTTTCTTTGACAACTTTTTGACTGTTTCAGCAAATCTTTGACCGTTATTATTGTGTAAAAATTAAGTTATTTAATTTCATTCCTTGATTGTTTTAGTCCTAATTTTTGATAATTAAAAATTGTCAAGGATTTTGGAAAAATAAAGTTTATTTCTTGATTGGTATATTCTTAATCCTCGACAGTGTTTAACTGTTGAGGATTAAGTTAAAGAAAAAAAAAAAAAAATTCCGAGATCTCAAATTTGGCCAAGGCTTCCCACCCTAATATTAGGCAAATTTTCCCGCCCAAAACACCCAAATCTCTTCCTCCCTAAAATTTTGCTAAGTCAAACGTAGGGCAAGAAACAAACTGCCGCCAAAAACCAAAATCTCTTCCACCAAAATCTCCTCCACGAAATTAATCAGAGCCCGCAAACCCTAAATCTCCTCCACTAAATCGCCCAAGTCTCTTCCACCAAATCGCCAAAATCTCTTCCATCGGTTGTTTCTTCAGTTCTCGGTATCGGCAATAAACAGTGAAGTCATCACTTTGCCACCTCCGCTGCCGCAAACCATCACCTGTAAGATTGTTGTTTTCTTCCTTGGATGAACATGTCTTTGTCTTTGTTTTTATTTTTTATATTTTTTGGGTTTTTTGATGGTTTTGTGTTGTTTTGAAGGCGATGGAGATCAGGGTGATGAAGAGTGTCAAGTGAGTAAATTTAAAGCGTTTGGTCTAAACGAGCTGAGAAAAGCGACTAATGGGTTTAGCTCAGCTTATATGGTTTCTGAGAGTGGGGAGAAGGCACCCAATGTGGTTTATAAAGGAAAGTTAGAGAAATAGTTTGGTTGCTGTTAAAAGGTTTACTAAACAATCTTGGCCTGACGCTCGACAGTTTGTGGTCAGAAACAACACTTCTCTTACTTTGTTTTTATGTTTGGTTGATGAGAAAATGAAGAAAGTGGGAAATATTTTTTGCTGGTAAAGAAAAAGGGGAATCCGGGTTTAATCCCCTTTTTCGGATCATGGGTGGATGAGGAAAAAATTTGAAAAGATAAATGGAAAATGTAGATACAGTTTATGCTTTGTTTTGATTGCTGAGAAAATGAATTCAAGTTTAGGACATCAATTGGGAATTTTCTTTTTGGTTTTTGCTTTGTTTTCTACTTTCTTTAGAAAATAATAGTTGTAATTAGCTTAATGATAATGTAAGTTGTGTTGGTTGGTGGTTGTCTTGAAACAGGTATGGGATTTAAGCACTCAACTTGTGTTGTATTTGTATGTTGTGTTGAAAGTGACTAGTAGCTGTGCATTCATGAATAAATTTGTCCTAATTACATCCTCACAGGTTAGACAGTGCTTTCTTTTCTAATTTTTGAATTTAATTTATAATTATGCTATGATTATGAGGAATAAAACTTTGCTAAATTGCACAGTTTAATATGCTTTAACAAACACATAGTTGATGTTTGTTGTGATCAGCAGTATTTATGATGCTTGTTTTTATATGAGCACAAAGAAGCCAAGCTTTTTGGGGAATTCCAGGTTATATTTTAAGTGATAAATGCCAAATCTCATGATTACAAGATGTGTGACTCACCAGTTATGCGATCTGCCTTTAGCTTGTAAGTGTGTTTTCTTCTTGTTTTTTCTACTATTACTTCTGTTTTTCTGGTTATGGATGGAGTTTTCAGTTCTATTTTTTCTTATGCGTTTTTTTTTCCTATTATTGCTGACATTTTCATACAGAAATAGTTCAATCTCCAGATTTTCTGGTTCTGAAGCGAGTTACTACAAGTCAGACTCTCAATTAGATGTCGTTGATGAATCTTGCAGTGATAATTCATCCTTAGAGGTTAGTTCTGGGGTAGGCATTTCTTTTTAGTGTATTATAAAGTTGGGGTTGAGATTAGTGTGGATAAAGGTTGAGTAAAAAACATAAATGGATCAAGCTATTGGGTGCATTGTTGTTTCTCTTATTTCCTTTTTGATATGTACTGCATAATTTTGGTCAAGTGGTTTGTTCTGATTTTTCCATTTGGGTTTCCATTTTCAGAGGTTTTTCTTGATTTGAATAATTCAATGTTGCAACGGTACTTGTTAATGGGAGTACTCTAATTACGGCCAATAACATGAGTGTTGAGTTGCTATGCTGATTTGGATGGACAAATGGCTTCATATGAAGTCTTCATTTCTTTGTTGACTTCAGTTGGAAGTCTTTTTGAAGTTTCATTCTCCCTAGTACAAATGCTTCAGATAGACTTGTAGTTGAATTTGTTAGCCTTCTGTTGAGTTTTCTTGTATTTGGTTTTAACACTTGCATAACATCTTATTAGTTATTATTAATATCCTCTTCCTTTTCTTTTTCTTGTCTTCAAAACATCCTGTGTTGATAGAAAAAATTGGTGATTGATTTAGGTGTGGGACTGTAGTGAAGATGCTGAAAGTCTTGGATCATGTGCTAAAAACAGAGATTCTTACCCATACAGACTTCAGCTTGAGAAGGATGTATGCTTCAACCTTTGAATTACTGTTGTCTATGTTGTGTTTTACTGAGTAGTTTGCTTTATTTATTTATTTGTTATTCAAAACGTTAGAAACATATAACCTCAAATAAGGTTTTAGATGGAGAATGCTATAGAGACTATGGTTCAGTACTTCAGTGTGTTAGTGGATCATAAAAAACTAAATTATCAAGAGAATCTTATACACCACTTTCATCCTCTCAGTGCTTGTTTCTTTCCAGGGGTTTCTGATACATTAATGTACTAGGTAGTGCTTCTGTATTCATTGTTATGTGTCTTATCAAGCTTGGGCAGGGCATTATGTCATTGCTAATTTGGTAAATTCATTAACAACCTTTTTCACTTCCTCACAATTGCAATGTTGTGTTTGCCTATTTTCTTCATAGAAGAGACTCTATCTTCTTGATTTAGCTTTTAGATTCATTCTGTCACATGCTTATTAACCTTGCTGTTAGGAAGTATTTTACCTATTTAATTTAATCTCTTACATGGTTCCATAAAAGTAAATTTACAGGCTTAGTTAACGAGATACATTGTAACTTTCTGTAGCCTCACTTGAATATCAATTTAACAGGTACAAAGGTTACAACAGAAGCTGCATGAAGAGATGGAACTCCATATTATTTTGGAAAATGCTATTAAGAAAAATGCTGTGAAGCTATCCAGTTCATCATGCCTCCCACACCATGTAGGCCATTTATTTATTCTTTTGCTATTTTCTATGGCCACTACCAATTTCAATATTTTGAAGTAATTAGACGAGCCTTTTCATGCTGTGCTCCTAACAATTAACCTTGTCTTTATGGACCTAACCACCTTGTCTTTGAGATTTTTGCGTTCAAACTACCTAAAGATGTGTACTACAATTTACCTTTACCTTTATGGACATCTCTGTTATATTCTTCAAGTTAATTTGGGGAATTAGTGGCATTTCATCATGCAACAGGTAAAGTGTACTTATGTAGGCTGCATGCATGCTGTTCAACATTATCCTGATTTGAGTTCTTGGACTCAAGACTTTCATAATGAAGATACAGATTGCTCCAGCTCTATAATCTTATCATTGTTAACTTTTGCTTATTTTTTCCACTGCAAATTGAACGCCCATACATCTTCAATCACTATGTTTAAGCTTTGTTTCTAAGTGGTCATTTTATTAATGGAAAAGACATTTATTTTTTGCTTGTATTGACCTTTAAATGATTGATATTCTATAGGTAAGTTCTAAAATGTGTGGAACTGGAACTGGAACATGTAACATATTATTCAATCATCAATTTGATGTTCAGTGATTTGTTAGCTCATTACCTGCCATCATGCATTAACTTTTTCCATTTGTTGAAGTTATCAAAATTTTGTTTGACCTATCAAGGTTCAAGGTTCAATACAGTGCACTATCAGGAGACCGGAGTTCCTGTATTTATTATTGCATACAGACTGTTTTATAGAGCATTTGATTATTTGCTTTAAAGCACACCATTTCTCTTCTACTTGGTGATGATATTAACTTATTGTAAGATGAACATAGCTAACTTATGGCATATTTCAGGAAGGTAACCCTCGTTTATCCAGTTTCGGCCTCATGAAAAATAGCAGAGATGGAAAAAGCTATAGTACCAACTTAGCATACACCCCACCTGAGTTTCTGCAGAAAGGTACATTGCATGATAACAAGTATTCTCTTGGATTTGATTGAAATCTAACCGTAGCTTATGTCTTAAATTATCTTGGATGAATTGGGGCAGGGCTTTATATTAGAAGCTGAAGGGTAATGGGGGCAATGTAAATGAAATTGGTTTCATGAGCCCCAGCTTATTGTCAATAGCAGACAGCACTTAACGCCACGGGAACAAGAGCCCAAAGGGCACAGTTGCTTGCCAATCGGTTGGCAAGTTTGAAGAACAAGAGTTTAATTATAGTGCCATACAATCTGTTAAAGTGTATAATTATATATTAGGATATTAGGATTGTAATCAATAGATATTAAGAACAAAATCTGTAAAATAGGAAGTTAGATTATTCATTTCCTAGATTAGATTATTTGTTTCCTAGATTAGTTCTTTATTTTCCAATATATTGATGTACTATTTTCTGATCATAATACAAGAAATATAAACACACTATTGGTTTCTCTGATTTTTCACATGATATCAAAGCTAGGTTGTCAAAAATTTTAAAATTTTTTTTTTTTTGGCGAAGCTTTTTGACAACGATTAGACGTCTCTCTCTAGTGGTTAGAACCTCCATCTGACTATACATGTCTCATCGTCTCTATCTCGTCAGGAGAACCTCACAAAGATCGACGTCATCGGCCATCGCACTCGCTTTCACACGTGGTGTTTCTTTTCGAAAGATCCAACTTTGATCTCCTTTTCTGACGAGCGTCAGTTCTCCCCGTCGGCACCAGCTTGCTTAGAAGACTACGGCGAGCAAAACCCACTAAGGTTCTATTGCCTTCGATGTCAACTCTGATAGCTTCACCAGATTCCGTCGCTATCCTTGTCGGATCTTCTACTTCAATCTGTTTGTTTGATCCGTGTTACCTCTGGTTTTGGTTTTCGGTCGGATTTGCTAATTATCATGGTTACTTCTAGCTCAAACTCCACTTTCAGTGGTTTTCCTTTCTTGTCTCTCCCATTAATCACCACTGATAAGTTGATTGGGAGTGCGAATTATTCTTCTTGGGCTACCTTTGTCAAGTTATGGTGTACAGGTCAAGGTTTAATTAGAGGATCACTTAACCACAAAGGTTGTTGACATCACATCAGATAAGTCTTCTTGGATCAAAGCTGATGCTTTATTGTGTAATCTATTATGGTAGTCAATTGACACTAATCTGCATCTTATTTACAAAACATACCGCACATGTTGTGAGATATGGAGTTAGGCTAAACTACTATATACCAATGACATTCAACGCTTGTATTCTGTTGTGTCCAATCTCATTCATCTAAAACAATAGGATATGAGTATGTTAGATTTTCTTGGTAAGATGGCCTCCCTTAATGTAGAGTACAATCTTCTCCTACCTGTTGGTAAATCTGTTGCAGAAGATCTAGCACAACGAGATAAATTTTTCATGGTTCTAACCCTTGTTGCTATTAGTCCTGATCTCACTCCTATACGAGATCAAATTTTAGCTAGCACTACTGTGCCATCTCTTGATGAAGTATTTGCTAGGTTACTTCGAGTTTCATCCCTAAGTACTGTCCCCATTTCTGCCGCTGTTGACTTTTCTGCTCTAGCTTTTTAGTCTCAAACTACTTATAAAGGAGAGCAAGGAGATCGTGGTCGAAGAGGATGACTCAAGTGTAGTTATTGTCATCGTTGGGGGCATACTAGGGAAAAATGTTACAAATTACATGGTCACTCTACTCTGACTACTAATGTTGCTCAGGCTAACCTTCGTTTTGACTCTTCTGAAGGACACACTCAGCCATCATTAACTCTCATTGGGGCTAATTATGAAGAATACCTCTAGTTTCAGGCAAATAAGCAGTCTTCATCTATTGCCTATATCGCTCAATCGGGTAATTCAGTTGCGTGCCTTACTCAGTCTTCTTTTCTTGGACCTCGAGTTCTTGACTCAGGTGCCTTTGATCACATTTTTGGTGACCCTCAATTACTTTCTCATTTAACTAATGTTGCATCTTTATCATCTGTTACTTTAGTCAATGGCTCCAAAGTTGTTAAAGTTGTAGGTCATGCCAAACCACTTCCATCCTTAGAATTAGATTCTGTTCTCTATATTCCCAATTGTCCATTTATTCTTGTCTCTGTCAGTAAACTTACCAATTCTTTAAATTGTTCTATGTCGTTTGATACTGACTTTGTTGTTATACAAGATCAAGGCATGGGACGGATGATTGGCACAGGACATAGAGTCACAAGGCTTATCATCTCCATCTACCATCTATAGCATGCATTGTTACTGAATTTCCAGCACTCCTTCATAATTGTTTGGGTCATCCCAGTTTAGTAAAGCTTAATAAGATGCATCCTGGTCTATCTAATTTATCGTCTTTAAATTGTAAGTCATGTCAGCTTGGAAAACATTCTCGTAGCACCTTTCCAAAGCGTGTCAATAAACGGGCTGCATCCCCTTTTGAGTTAGTTCATTCAGATATATGGGGACCTCGTAGTGTGTAATATGTTTTAGGTTTTCAGTACTTTGTTACATATACTTGGTTATTTCTAATGAAAACTTGTTCCGGTTTATTTTCCTTTGAATCTTTTTGTGCGGAAATTGAGACTCAATTTAATTTTGTTATTCGATTATTACGCAGTGATAATGCTCGCGAGTATTTCTTTGATCTCTTTACTAAATTCATGTCTTCTTAGAGAATCCTTCATTAGTCCTTTTTGTGCTTATACCCCACAACAAAATGGGGTTGTTGAGCGTAAAAACAAACATCTTGTTGAAACTGCCCGTACCCTGATTTTACATAATAAAGTCCCTTTTCATTTTTGGGCGGATGCTGTTTTGACCACCCGTTTCTTAATAAATTGGATGCCCTCTTCTTTCCTCAATGACAAGGTACCTCATTCCATTTTATTTCTTGATCAATTGTTGTATTCTATCCCTCCTCGTGTCTTTGGGTGCATATGTTTTGTCCATGTTTTCCCTCTTGGTTAGGACAAACTGACAGTTAAATCTACTAAATGTATTTTTTTAGGGTATTCATGTCTTTAGAAAGGATATAAGTGTTATTTTTTATCAACACATTGCTATTTTCTCTCTATTGATGTTACGTTTTTTGAGTCGTCTCTATTGTTTTCTTCTTCAATCTTAGATTGTGAGTTAATAACCACTGCCCTTCCCATACCATACATTACCAATCTTCCTAAGTCTGTCATAGCCCCACAGTCTTCCACTACCAAGTCTCCCATTACAGACCATAGTCTTGTTACATTTACAGGTACTACTAATCCGACTAGTTCTTAGAGTAGGTGCCCTAGAGCTAATCAATTATTGTAAGATTGATTCTGTAATAAATGTTTATTTATCAATAAAAGGCATATTTTTCTATATCATGTAAATCACAGTTATATGTAATGATATATGTCTTTAGGATGGTAGAACTGTGATAAAGGTATCAAATGTTTCAAATCTTGATCACATATGATGGTCATTCTAGAAACGTTTGTAGCCTTAGTATTATTCCAACCAAAGACACATAATACGGTAAGTCGGTAAAGCTATCATAGTGTTGAACGACCATGTCGAAAGGCAGTGACTGATCTCACTTGTCAAGGTTGTTTGCCGATAACCTAGTGCAAGGCATAAGTGTTTGCTAGAGGCAAGTTCATTGGACAGACCCACCAGAGGATTCTATATGGATGGTAACCCCAGTGTCTATGGAATAAATCTTCTATCGGATGGTGGTGTATGTGATTCTTAGACTTGAGATCATTGGAGCGTCTTGTGCATCAATTGGTGTAGTTTGACATTAGCCCAATGTAGTTCTATTCAAAGCTATCAATATAGTAGTGATTGACTACATTGAGAAGTGTATCAAAACTATAGTGGATGGACAAAGGATTCATCACTCTTGGGTACGAGAGAAGTTATCTCACTGGGTAATTCAATAAATGGCAATGACACTATATCTGTGGCCACAGTGGGATTGAGTTGATGCTTAATTCAATTTATTATTTCGGTCATTGGTCCATTAAATGAATACAAACATGTCAAGGATATCTGAGGTTGACACCATTTCTGTACCTCAGTCTCGATGAGATAACAGATGATGAAAAGATTGGATTGCACGGTAACTATATTGTTGACAAGCTGCGGTTTCGTTGAATCCGAATCTATCGGGTGACCATGATGCCTTGCTAGGGGCCAATCTTGGTCTATGTGTAGTGAGACGATTAATTGGTATTAATCACGATATTACACACTGCCAATATAATAGTGAGCCTACGGGTCACACACTTAGAAGATAATTTAAGAATCAATTTGTGAGAAGGGTATTTTCGTCTTTTAAGACAAAAGAGTATTTTGGTAATCTCACAGTGCAATTAAATTTGCTGAGGTTGTTGCCTATATTTAATTTTAATATTAAAGTTAAATTAGTGAGATTATATTTAAATATGTTTATGTATATATTTAAATGATTATTATTATTAATTAAATGTTAATATATTATTATATATTAATTGATTTTAATTATAATAATAATTAATTAATTAAAATACCATAAATGGTGTGTTTGGTTGCAATGGTGAATTAGGGTTGGAGCCCATGTCTATTCCTAAGTGGAATAGGGTTTTAATTGTTGTACTATATAAGTGCAACTTAAAATTAAAACAAAGAAGAATTATTCAATAATAAAAAACCCTAGCCACCCTCTCTCTCTCTCTCTCTCTCTCTCTCTGTCTCTCACGTTACACTCTTGAGTGAAGAAGAATATTTTTCTTGTTCTTCTCTCCCGATTTTTGAAGCCCTTGATTGTTTTAGCAAAATAATCAAAGGTTATGTGGATTGTCTTCGTGTGGATTTTCGTGAATGCGATCCTACTTTGGATCGATTAGCGAAGAATCTTGTGAATAGTATCGATGAATAGTAGCTAGAAAACAGTATTGTGAATAGTGTTCATGAGCGTAATCAAAGATATTGGGAGGAGCCTCCAAACGTGTGTAAGCGTTCTGAATCCTTGTATGGATTTACTATATTGTTGTAATGCAAAATTTTATAAACATTATAATTTGTACCCAGATTTGGGATTAAAGCATATGATCAGTTTCTATTTGTTTTAAAACTGTGTTTTTCCGCTACGTAAACCTGATCACTTGCTAACACTAGTGTCCTTGAGGCTTCTATCGATGGCAGTCTTGCTCCTGATTCCTCCAATGCCACGGTCCTCTCTCCTAATGATCAATTTCCCATTGCCATTCGTAAAGGTATGTGGTCTATGTATATTATGTATATAATTTCCATTTTTTTCCCCTCATTCATTTAGTATAT